ACCACCAGACATACAATCAAGCAGTAAACAATACCCTAATCAAGGAACTACCAGAGGGGGGGAAAATAAAACAAAACAAAACCCCATTCCATTCTAGCACTGAAGATGTTACCAAGCAGGTAACAAAATGGTTGCAAGAAAACAATCAAGCTCAGAGAACCCCAGGGACTCCACAGTTCAACCTTGAGCTACACATATTCTCTTGTAATGGTAATTTTCAACCTTTTTTCTTTTGGTCTTTATACTTAACTGCACTTTAATATTAATGCTAATTAAAACTAATTTTGTTGTAAGTTGCTGTGAGAATGATTCAGCAGCATACAAATTTAATTAATAAATAAATGGTGATACAAATTACAGCTGATACCTAAGATTATATTAAAATAAATTATCATACATTATTTTTATCTTTATTACGATTTGGTAGAAAGAAATTCATATTCTAATCCTTCATATAGTTTTCTGAGAATATTTGCCTTTGAGTAGATAGGTATAAGATTCTGATTTTATTGTTTTCACTAATCCTAGAGACAGCAAATATTAAGTGACGCAAGGAAAAACGAGCTCTTAGAGAGACTCATTGTGGAGCTTGTTGAGTTCATTTCTCCTAAAACACCAAAGCCAGAAGAACTTGGTGGGCGAGTGTCTGGATCATTGGCTTGGAGAGTTGCCAGAGGTGAAATTGCTTTAAAGGTATTTACAGCATCTAATAGCAATTTTTAGAATTCTTAGTGTAAGCCCTAATTGGCTTGTTGGTTTTACGGCCTCTGTTCAAAGAAATTTAATTATGCTTGTATTTTATTGGTTTTCATTGCCACAAATTTCTCCTATTTATTTCAACCAAAAAATTGTAGTGTAGCATTTCAATTTGTTTGAGCTATTATCCAGAGCAAATTAGAACCAAAATCTCAACAGTAAATAGACCCCAAGTGAACAAAGGAAAGCAGACTTATTTATTCATTAGATTTATAGTCCAACTTCCTATTAATGGAACACTAAAATTATAAACAACTAAAATACAAAGCAATTTTTTAAAAAAATATTAACATTAAAATGTCACTATTTTTATTGAGTACTGTACAGGTAGTCCTCACAACCACAGTTGGGACCAGAATTTCCATCGCTAAGCAATGCAGTTGTAAAGCGAGACATCACGTGACTGCTTCGCTTAGTGACCGCAATCCTGGCACTCCCGGTTGCTGTTAAGTGAGAATCGTGGGTCGTTAAGGGGAGGGAGTCCCAAGTAAGGAGTGCAAGAGTGCCGCAGGGGGGTGGGGAAGGCCTTGGGAGGCCCAGTGCAGGCTGCGCGCAAGTTGGGGGGTGCTGCGCAAAGCTGCCGCCACCCCTGGAAACCTCAGCTCCCCCGGGCTGGCCGGGCAGGGGGGTGCAAAACTGGCACACCCTGGGAA